CCACCCCCCCCACACACACAAGTATGCTATGCGATTATTCCTCCCGTGTGGAGCTTATATTGAAGAGACATCGCCATTTGTTTTTAATATGCAGCTTGATAAAACAGGGATGGATGAATTTCTCGTTTTCCTTCTCATTTACTAATTTGACTTGGTACCCTGCTCTAGTAGTTACTTTGTGCCTTTTGATTCTGTCCAGATATGGATTCTTAGAATGCCTTTTCTTATAGATGAATGGAAGGGAAATATTAGTAAATGTTATCAAAGGAGGAGAGAGAGAGTTTTGTGTTATAACATGTCAGGAAGACCTCTAATTCTACATGCAGTTGCTATAGCCAAACTAACAAATGATCTGATTTGCACTTTTCTATTGCATATATTTATCTATTTTTATGAATTGCAGATCAAATAGGGCTTACTCCCGAGGAAGTCATTTCGAAAATTATGGCTAATCCTGATGTTGCTATGGCTTTCCAAAATCCAAGAGTTCAAGCAGCCATCATGGATGTATGCACTTTTTGCTCCTATCTGTCTTAACTTTTTTTTTCTCTTAATTTTATAAATATCTAATCTTGACTTTATTGAAGTTTCAAAGAGATGCACTTTTATGGCCTGAAGTGTTGATGCACTCTGACTTTTATGATTATTGCAGTGCTCTCAGAATCCACTGAGTATCGCAAAATATCAAAACGACAAGGAGGTAAAGAACATAGTTTCATCGTATGAAGTCTGCATTTGTTAAGACTGTCTGAAATTTTGCTTCACTACATGAGAGCTGTCATCACATGAAATACCTAATGCATATTACGTTCCATGTATGTTAATACACTCATATAAACATTGATAAATACCTAATGCATATATTTGCACATATGGTCATAGGTGATGGATGTCTTCAACAAAATATCTGAACTATTCCCTGGGGTGTCGGGTTCACCTTGATTCGCTCCTTCCTGCTTAAGAAGCTGTTTATGTGACCGCTCCTTGTCATTTTTGTTCTGTTTGAGTGAGGTATCAGCCAGAACTGTTGGGCTCTAAGATGTACTGCACACTCGGTTGGTTGTGTGCAAGCGAAATGGTCATTTTGCAACGGATGCGCATGAAACTGTCGCCTCCTTCTTAAGAATTTATAAACTCATCGCCCTTCTAAAATTTTGTGGGTGTTAACATGCCTTTGTTTACCAGTAGTCTTTAGAAACCAAATTCAGCTGTAAATTTGCCAGCTTTTTCATGATTTTAGAGTCACTTATAAGCTTGTTCAACTGTATGATTTGATTAAGATATGCTATTCTTGTATCTTGAAGTATGTGTTCTTGCCTGGGACCTCTTAAGCATTTCTTGCCGTATTTTGCTTGATTTTAACCCTGTTTTTATGCTCTAAAATTTCCTTGTGTAAATGGACTTGAATATTTTTTGTGATTGAATGACAAAAATTAGAGGTCAAGGTGACCAATTTGTTTTGGGCACATCCATTAAGGAAATACTAAATTCTAGATAAAAATAGTTAGTGTGACTAAATTACCCTTACTTAAATGTTGCGGTATAGTTATAGTAGTACTTTTCTTCTCAAATGTGAGGAATAAGGGTGATTTTGGAAAAATAAATTGAATTTTTTCTTGACTATGTAAATGGACACTTATTTTGGACCAAAATAAAAAAGTAAATTGGTCACTTATTGTGGACTGGAGGGAGTATAATGATTACATCAATAGATATACCTCCAATTACCCAACCTTTATTTTCTTTAATAATTTAATTATTCTTCTAAAAGTCGCATAAATCCAAAGAAACTAATGTGCTGTTTTACTTTTTTTACGCAAAATAACGTTGAAATTTATGATCCATAACTATAAAAAAGAAATACTCTTTTTTTGGTTGGAAAAGAAAGTACTTTTTCTACAACATGAAAATAAAGTAATCATTTTATTGAAATAAATGAAAATACTTTTTCTAAATCTTGAAAAGAAAATACTCATTTTGTTGAAATGAAAGAAAATATTCTTTCTACATCATGAAAAGAAAGTACCTTTTTTTGTTAAAATAAAAAAAATACTTTTTTATACCATGAAAAGAAAATATTCATTTGTTGAAATGAAAAAAAAAATCTATCTATAACATGAAAAGAAAGTACTATTAACAATATTTTTATTTAGATGGGGTTGGGGGTGGGGGTGAGTAAGTGGGGTTGGGGGGTTGGGTTGGTGGGGATGAGGAATAGGGTGAGGAAGGTTGAAAAAGAATTTTGAAAAATATTTTCTCCCTCCTTTGATAGGGAAAACATTTTCCTCCAATTGGAGGAAAATGAGTTCACGAGGAAAATATTTTTCAAAATATTTAAGCCAACCAAATATAAAAAAATTGAAAAATATTTTTCGAAAAATATTTTCCTTCGTACCAAACACACTCCAAGTATCCAAAATTCATTTGAAACTATAGAACTTCCTAGTACAATTAAATATTGCTATCAAATAAAAATCTTGTCTGTATGATGTGATTTATTTTTGGTTGAATACTTTTCCTATTCTAAAAAACAATTAGGGCGAGATATTACCTCACATATTAGGGAATCACTAATTGATGAGGGGTGTTCTCCAAGAAATATTCTTGGCTTGAAGCCAAAAATTAATTCTATATAATACTTGCTATTTTATAGTTTATTTTAATCGTGATATTCGGATCAGCTTATGCGCACCTCAATTAATTCTATATAATACTTGCTATTTTCCACCAGCGTAAGTATTGAATAACTGTAAGGTAGGATTTTAGTTCTAGATAATTCTGTCCTACAGTGCTACTCCTAGCTAGGGCTGTGCACGGATCGGATCGGATCGGATTTAGCATATTTCGAATTCGAATTTTGGATTTCGGATTCTAGAAAATAGTAATATTAAATGGTCTTGGATGAGTTATAATAAGTTATTGTAGTATCACTTTATTCCATAATCAAATCTCCACTTATTGGGAAAATGACTCCATATCTAATTGTTCTCATTTTCTTTTTCAATGCAGGCATTATCTTGTTGGTTGTCCTAGTCAAAGTATCATTTTCTTTGCCCTTCCAAGTACAACTTCCATCAATTCTCTGAAAAATGGACCTTAGGTTTGAAAAATGGTAAAAATAAATAAAAAAATATATATATTTGTGTGATTTAGAATTTATTTTTTGACACTAGCTTATGAGTTTATGGTTATAATAGATATTCTTTTATTTCAAAAGTTGAGCAAGGGCAACTGATATTCTGCTTAAAGTATACATATTTTTATGTATATTGCCTCGCATTGCGCTTATGTCTCGTAGATTTCGAATGTATAATATAATGGTTTGTGCTAATTTGTGGTATTTCTATGTGTAGGAATCATTCGGATGCAGTTTAAAACAAAAGTATGCGAATTAGAGCGAAAATGGGAAGAAAAAGTAAAAGTGCACATTTAGGGTGGGGCGCTACCTGTGGGCCAGTTTCTAGAAGCATAAATATCCAGTGCCAGGGCTAACGCTCCACGCTACCCTGGGCGCTGGTGACGAGGACTTGTCCTATTTCGCTTGGGACTTAGTTATTTCGGCCCTACATATCCCCGACTCGTATAAAAGGGGTCCTAAACCTATTTTGGAGGAGGAGAACATTTTTGAAAGGAACTTTTGACCGGGGGAGGACGTTTTTGAGAGGAAAACACAATCATAGAGCTGCAGTGAAGGCCAGAATTCACCAAATTCCATCTTTCTTCCCCCAAACTTAATAATTTTTATGTTTCTTTGTATGATTTGTTGTTTGAATACCATATCTATGTGGAGCTAAATTTCACGTTCTAGGGTTGTAGTTCTTTCATGACTATTGTTATTCGAGTATTGATTTTGCTTTCTTGATTTATCATATTAGTTTATTTATTCAATCTTACGCTTGATTATTTGATTGCTTTATCACCAATTAAATACTATCCATGAATCTAGAATTAAACTCGAAGGTGGGAATTCTAAATTGCACATAGGATTGAGTAGAGCAAGTTCTTGAACATGAGGCAGGAAACAGATTCACGGTTAGGATAAAAATATACCTAATTTCCTTGCTTGGTTGATGTACATGAATTATAAATGCGTTTTTGCTAGTTCTAACTCCATAAACATATAGGTGTTAGGTTAGCGTGAATAGGCTAGTAAGAACTCGACAAATTCTTATAAGCAATATTAACCCTGTCAACCAATAAGCTAGATTAATTAGTTAGTCAATTCAATTGAATAATACAATAGGAATGTTAGATAGCCCATAACCCTGTATCGTTTTCATTATATTGATAACATAACAATCTACTCTTTCTTTGTTCAGAGTTCATTATTATTTTTAGTTAATTACTTTAACATCATTACTTTTGGATTTAATCATTATTTAGATAATTAGGATAGTCTGATCTAGTTGATAACAAGTCCTCGTGGGTTCGACACTCTATATTATCACTTTATTACTTGACGATCGAGTATACTTGTGTGTGCGTTTGGCCGCAATAAATTTTTGGTGCCGTTGCCGGGAACTTAGAATTAGCTATTTTTCTAGATTAGACATTTATTTTTTTATCTATTCAAGTTTTTTGTTGTTTTAGTTTAGTTAGTATTTTATGATTTATTTTAACATGGCATATTAGAATGAAAATTATTCGAATGATGGTTATTCTTATTTTAATGATCCTAATCTATATTGTGGAGGACCTCACTAGTGAAAAAATTGTCAGAATGTTTCCGGGAGTGAGTTGTGCGCACAATCTCAATCCTTTGAGTGGAATATTTGTAATATGTGTGGTGGTCACAATGGCCATTGGGATGACTGTCCTAATTCTTTTCATCCTTCTTTGAGCCCTTGTTATGATCTTTCTAACAGTGTTTGTGAGTTTGATAAGAGAAATAAAGTGCAAGATATGGAATGTGATGCATATATTAGTGATATTTTGAGGCAATACGATGAACTCAAAAAAAATATGAAAAGAATGAGGGCAACAATCACAAGAATGAAGGCCAATATGGAAGAATTAAATGAAGAGAGCGAGTACCAGCAAGAGAATTTTTTTTTAAAAAAAGGAGATTTTGAACCAATCTTGGTTGGTGGAACAAGCTGAAAGATTAGAAATATATGAGGCTCAACATGAGAAAATTACAAATGAGATGAGATACTTTATAGAAGGAAGAGCTGAACTGGGGCAAGAGATTGATAAATTTCGCACTACTATTCACGACTTAGAGGCTCAATTGAATGCAAAGGTTGATGCGTCTAACACCCAACAAAATAGTAGTGAGTTGTGTGAAACTGAAAATGAGCTTATATGCCAAATTGAGGAGCTAAAAGTGGAGAGCCAATCATTCGAGCATATTTTTATTGATGATGCCCATGTTGAGAAAAGTACACTAGAGCCATGTGAGGAAGCAGATAATGTTATATTTGAAGACTCTTGTGCAAGTAAATATGAGGATGTAAAGGGTAATACAATTTTAGAGTTAAGGCATATTGATCCTCATTCCATACATTTTTCAATATTGTGGTTGGATGATGACATGGAAATCCAGTCATCTGAGCCTTTAGAAGAGCCAATGGACGAGAAACGGGGTGCTTACATTCTTGAATTCGTCGTGCCAGAGAGACAGAATTACATACCTCATCCGAAAGCCAAGAAGTGTAGGATGCGATATTAGTTACTTGGCCCAATGAAATTTGTCTTACCGCCCCGGGAGCATAACAGAAAGCTTGAAGCCAAATTAGGGGCTTAATTTATAAGTTTGAGGTGGAGGTAAAAAGTGGTTCACGTCGTGCTGCGGTATTAAATTAGGCGCTTGTTGGGAGGAAACCTAACTTTACCGTTTTTTTAGTTTTGATTTTTTTCTTATTGTATTATTTTTGTTGTGTTGTTTTATTTTGTAGGATTTTGAGCATAGGGAGCAAAGACATAGAAAATGTGCAAAAGTGATCCAGATGGTTGGAACTAAGTGTGAGGTGCCCACACAAAGGACCATCCTTGGGAGAAGTCTGAGTACCCCATGAGTTACTATTGCTTCTGCCTTTGGCCTTCCTGGGAGTTTCTCTTACCCTCTTGATTTTATTTATGATGTGTATTAAGGATATTGCACTCTTTTAAGTGTGTGGTGGGAAAATTCCTTTGGATAATTAGCTTTTTATCATTTTAGTTTTTTTTTAACGTAGTTGTGTATTTTTAGTAGTAGTTTTAGTAGCTTAATGTCATGTGCATCTTTATCTTAAAAAAGAAACTTTATTGAATCACCCTTCTTTAACACAAGTAAATGTACTATACAAAAATCCTTGTTAAAATCAAAAGCGAAATCTTAAATCAAGAGCAAAACTTCACAAAGACTGCCATAACTT